TATATATATATATATATATATATATATATATATGTTTAAAAATGGTTAAGGGGAAAACGAGGAAGGAGCATTATGTACATTTGCCATCTTGAGTTATGTGTTAAAACAATAAAAGTGGGGGGATCTAATAAATAATCTTTACTTTTCATTTGTATTTCATTTTTGTTCTATGTTGGTATCATGTTAATTTTTATGTTTTAATTTCATAATAGATATTAGTGTAACTGGCTTTTCCTATTAAAATATCCCTTATATGTAAAGAAATATTTACATATAATTGTGAATGTCATAAATGCGTGGATTGATTGCAAAGTTATTTTTTCATTACTCTCAAAATGGCAAATAGTCGCTAAATAAGTCGATCAAGAGATGCGTTTAGAGAAACATCATTTATAAGTGCACATAAGACTCTATTATTAATACAATTAGTACTACAATGCCGTAAAATTGTATTCTGAAATAGTATCTATGTTTGTGTAAACATGATATACAGAGAGATACTAAAAATGTTTGAGAAATAATATAATATGTAAATTTAATCAACTTTACCTAAAAGAAAATTGCAATAATGAATGTGACTTAGTTGTAGAATGCAGAGGTTCACTTAATATTTTTATGTAATAAAATAGAGGACAGGTTTGTGGACTAGTCCCTGTAAGGTTTGCCATTGCCTCCATCCTAGCACCAATTTTAAAATTAATAAAGAAACGATGGATCATCTTTGTAATAAAATGGAAACATTTATCAGTATTACACTTAATATAAACTAATTCCTGGATTAAGTAACTAAATTGATTATAAATGTAATTAAATATGAATCATTCCATTATATTGTAAACCAAAGTATCAGTCTCAAATAATACCTCTGTTTCCAAAATGTCTGTAGTCCTTTGAAAACTCCACTGACATTCTCAGAAGATAAAAGAGGGCAAAATGGCTATAGCCATCTTCATAATGAAATCCAATCTAGAACTGTTTTAGGCATAAAAGCTGGCTGAGTGATTTTGAGCCAGTCACTCTCTTTCAGCTCAACTCAAGTCACAAGGTTGTTAAATAGGAGGAAAGAGGAGTATTAGGTATGACTTTCTTAAAAATAATAAAGGTGAAATGAAAAAAGTATTTTAAAAAGCAATGCATATCTGTTCAACTTTATATAGATAATTTAGTATATTTTCAAGAATACCTATTGGCCTTAAAAGAATACTGAGGGGAGTAAGACAGAACTTCAAGGAAGACCATCTAGAACTCAATAAGCAGAAAACTAACATAATGGTTAGGGTCATACTGCATTCACTGAGTTATATTTCTATGTAGGGGTGGGCTTCAAAAATTGCAGCAACACGTTCACTACATTTTTATTCCGACATGAAGCGGCTATGTCTCAGATTATAACTGCAATACATCTAAATAAATTATTAGTGCATTTTCCAAGAAAATGGCTTACCTCAAATTCAGCATGTCTATGAACATCTTCCGCTCTCTGTCTACTCAAGATAAATTCGGCTTCATTTGCTACCCTCACTAAATGATCCTTCATTGTTTGACTCAGCAACCTATAAATGCAAAATATTTAAGGTCAAAGAAATTGTGAATTTATAAAATTAAAACATTTTACCATATTTAGATGCTGGAATAAACACCAGAAGCAATAATTACTTTCAACTACCTAAAACAAATTTCCTGTTAACTCCAAGAGATAAGAGTTTTGTTTTCTGCAAGAGGCAGATGCAGTGTGTCCTCTACTATCGTAAGTGGTGACTCATAAGAGATTCATCCTCATTAAGTGTATAAGGAATATTTGTTGCAAGTAGTAACAAATATCAGGGGCTATTCTTGAAAGAAAAAGAAGATTGGAAATCTAATTGCCGAAGATAGTTAAATAAAAAACACATAAACAAATGTATATGGCAAATAAAAAACAAAATTCTAAAAATCCAGTGCTAATATTAAATATGCTAAAACATAGTTTTATAGATAAAAAACTTAATAGCATTTTATATAATATTTTCATATTTAAAGTATTTTTTAGAAGCAAGAAGCATGTTTTCTTTTATTCATTGATCCCCTTTTAGCGGGCCTTTGTGATGAGATCATCTGTAACAGGTTTCCTCAACCAAATCCCCTCCAGAGATTCCAGACCGGGGGAAAAAATCATTGGGAACTCAGAAGACTTATGTTCCAACTCTATGGACTGAGAAAAGGAAGTATATTAGTGGTGGGTTTCAAAAATTTTTAGAATCTCTTCTGTAGATGTGGCCTGCTTTGTGAGAGTGGCTTGCCGGCTATGTGATCGGGTGGAGGTGGCTTGCCAGCCATGTGACCATGGGAGTGGCTTGGCAGTCATGTGACTGGGTGGCTGTGGCCAACTTGCAAAATGTGTTGAAACTCACTAAACAACGCTCTTGCTTAGCAACCAAAATGTTGGCTCAGGAACTCTGGGATTGAAGCACACAAGTCTTAAAGATGTCAAGTTAAAAGACCCTTGCACCCCTAACCCTTTAGAAAAAAACCCCCAGGGGTGGTCAAA